TGCTGGCAGCAGCAGGAGTTGGCGTCGAGCTTCAGCAGTTTGGCACCGCCGTTTTTCTGACGGCTCCGTCAGGCCAGCTTACTGACGGTCTCGGCGGCGAGATCCGAACCATACCCTCGCCGATCAGGGATTCGGGCAGCTCGATGGGTGGCAGGGGCAGGGTGTGGAATTCGTCGAACACGTGGCAAAATCCGAACCCTACCCTGGAGAATCGGTGGGTGGTGAAGGCAGGGTTCGGGTGTCGCCACCTAGTCGGGCCAACTCGAGTCCTCCAAACTCGAGAGTCTTACGTCTCTCGGATCCCTGGCTCTCCATATTCGCGCCGTCCGTTCAGACATCTGGGGGAACCTCGTGCAGCTGTTTGTCGCTTTTGCCGCGCTCTGCTGCTGTGTGTCTTTTTTTGTGTGTTCGGTGTCGCTGATTGCTTTTACAGTGGAGGCACTGAAGAAAGAGTCCTTTTCGTTGGGGAGTTCAGTTTTCGATGGGAAGTCGAAGGCTAACTTAGGGAAAAGAGGGGCCTCGTTTCTTATGTATCGTTCCTTAGGTCAACGCCCCACCCCGCCCCTTCCCCTGCTCCTTTCTCTCTTCTTTTTTTATCTTCTTTTTTTATAACCTTGCCATTGTGTTCACCTCGTTCTGTCATCTTCCGGCGCATGGCGCCATGCACGCGGAACTAGTTGCCAGTTGCCGGTTGCCGGTTGCCAGTAGGTCAACGGCCCAACAGTGTTGATCAAGTAATTCAGGAGAGGAGAAACACACAGATAGTATTAATCGTCGATTCCCCAGAAAATGGGAAAATATGGGAAGTGGGGGGGAAGACCAAAACCCAGAAAATGTTGGAAAATATGGGGAATCCTTTTATTTGTGTGTATTTATTTGTGTGTCCTGGGTGTTTCCCTTCACGTGCACAATCAGTGGTATCTGTTCTTATCGATATCGTTTGACGTCCGCAGCTCATTTGTGTCAAAGGAGCGTTGCATGGTAGCGGAGCGTCGGTCTAGCCGGCGCTCGCGCGCACCAGCCCCGGCCGCGCTCCCGCGCGGCCCGCCCTGCACACTCCAGCCACGGCGTCGAGCGGCGATAGCGGGGCTGCTGGTGGCGTGTGGCTGTGGGTGCCAGACGAGGTAGAGACTCCGGTCAAGCAGACCGACGGGAGAGTGCAGAGCAGGTGGCGCCACGTGGTGGCGAAGGTGCTGAAGCAGAAGTACCTCAAGGGTTTCTGGTCAGTGCTCGGCGAGTACCTCAAGTACGTCAAGAGCAGGCAGCTGCGATGAACGAGCAAGAGAGGCAGGCCCTGGCCAGCCTGCAGTCGGCTGTGGAGGCGCTGAGGATCCAGAACGCCCAGCTGTCCCAGCAAGCAGAGCAGATGCAGCAGCAGAACGTTCAGATCAGGACGGAGCTCGCTCGGCAGGTCCAGGCGCAGGGAGATCTACCACGGTTGGCCGAGCAGCTCGGCGACGCTGTGCAGAAGCTGTCTGACGAACGCAAGGATAAGTCGTCTGCGCCGGCCTTTTCCCTTGTAGACACCAAGGGGTTGGGCAAGCCCTCCATCTTCAAGAATGAGGAAGCCAAGTTCCTGGAGTGGTCCCGCAAGACCAATGCGTACCTGACGGCAGTCTTCGGAGAGCAGTTCCGCAAGCTGCTAGAGTGGGTGGAGGATCAGGCGCGGGAGACCACGGTGATCAGCATGGAGGTTCTGGAGGCGCGGTTCGGCAGCGACGACGATGACGAAGATGAGTTCATTCCGGACCTCCGCGAGAAGGTCAGCCAGCTGTACGTCGCCCTCCAGACGCTGACAGAGGGTGAGAGCTTTGCCCTGGTGATGAACACTCCCAAGGGTAACGGCGCTGAGGCGATGAGGAAGCTCATCCGGCGCTGGGACCCAGCTTCAGGGGGTAAGCGCCGCGTTCTCTTGAAGCAGATCATGAACCCGCAGCGGTGCACCCTCAGTGACCTGTATGCGAAGCTCGAGGAATGGGAGGAGCTCATCCGCCGTTACGAGAGGAAGAAGGCAGATGGCCTGGGCAAGGTGGTTGACGACGACGTGAAGGTTGCAGCCCTGGAGACCATGGTGCCAGAAGAGCTCGAACTCCACCTCGCGATGAACAAGCATCGGTTAGACACGTCGGAGAAGGTCGTAGAGGAGATCAGGAGCTTCCTGGAGTCGAGACAGTCGCAAGGTGCCCTACTCCGACGGAAGCGAGGTGACCCAATGGACGTTGACTCGCTGTACAAAGGAGGCAAGGGCAAGTCCAAAGGCAATGGTGACAAGAACGGCAAGAAGGGCCAGACTCCCAAGCCGCGTGACAAGCGGACGGTGCAGTGCTGGCGTTGCGGTGGCTGGGGCCACACGTCGAATGAGTGCACAGTCCGCCTGCCTGGCGGGAAGACCGGCGACGGCAAGGGCAGCAAAGGCAAAGGCAAGGGCAAGGACGCAGACAAGGACAAGTCCAAGGGCAAGAACCGCCGCTGGGACACCAACTCCTTCGAGCCCGGTGCCGCGTCAAGCTCGAGCCAGCCGGTGTACGGAGACAACTGGGTCGACGGCAACAACAGCACGATCACCAGCCTTCCGCCCTCAGCGAGCCAGGTGGGTTCCACGAACCTTGGCTCCTTCGAGCTGTGCACGTTCGAGCTCAACAGCTTCGACGAGACCGTCGACGACCAGGAGTGGATCAGGTTCACGTTCGACTCGGGAGCGGCCGTGACCACCTTCCCTGAGAACACCAAGGGCGAGCGGCTCCCGGCCGATCCGAATGCGAGCTATCGGACGGCCAGCGGTGAGATCATAGCCGACTCGGGCGGGGTATGCATCCAAGGGCGATCCGAGTGGAGCGAGCCGATCAGACTGAAGGCGCGCTTGGCCAGCATCCACAAGCCGCTGGTCTCGGCCTCGCAGACTCACCGCACGGGTCGGGCCACCTGGCTGACGAAGGAGGGTGGCTACATCCTCCCGGCCGGCTCGGACATCGTGAACCGCGTCGACGCTCTCATCCGTGATGCTGCGTGGAGTGAGTCGGGCGTGGTGCCTCTGTACGTTGGGAAGGGCATCTACGCAGGCTACATCAAGAAGAACGAGGGAGGCCACGTCAGGAGAGTCTCGTTCGGCGACCACCGCGAGAGCTGGGACTTGTGCCCGGTCGACGGCGGGTCGCCAGTCCCTCCCCGGCAGGCCTGGCCGTAAGGCCGGGAGGAGGCGGCGCTGTTGCTGGGGGCCCGGGCCCAGCGCCGCTCACTGACTTAGACGCGGGCCAGGAGGAGGAGCAGCAGGCGCCGGAGGTGGCACCCGCTCGAGTCGCGCGCCGTGGCAGGGCGCCGACGCAGGCAGAGCGGGAGCAGCACTTGGCATCCGGACACGCGGTCTACCGCTCGTGGTGCGAGGAGTGCGTGCGGGCAGCCGGCCTGGGCGCCCCGCACGCCAGGCGACCTGAGGATCGTGATGACGCCGGCCCGGTCGTCAGCATGGACTTCGCCTTCATCGGGGAGAAGGTCCAGGACGTGGAGGACGACGGCTCCATCCCCATCTTAGTGGTGACGGACCGCAAGTACGGCATGGAGGGGGCGACCGCCGTCAAGGACAAGACCGCGTCCGACTTCGTGGTCAAGTGGCTCGTGGGCTTCTTGAAGCACCTCGGGCACCGCCGTGTCGTGCTCAAGTCCGACGGCGAGGCGAGCATCTGTGCGATCAAGAATGCAGCGATGGTTGGTGTGGGCCAGCATGTCGAGTGCATCCCGCAGGAGTCGCCCAAGGGCGAGCACAAGAGCAACGGCGAGGTCGAAGCCAGCGTGAAGGAGGTGAAGAAGGTCATCCGAGCGAACTTCTTCTCCATGCAGAAGTCCTTCGGCTTCGAGATCTCGCCCGGGCATCCCATCGTCAGGTGGCTGCCCCAGTTTGCCGCGGACTCCATCTCCAAGTTCAGGCTCGGCGTTGACGGCATGTCGGCCGAGCAGCGGAGGTGTGGCCGCCCCTGGAGGAAGTTCGCGGCGGAGTTCGGCGAGAGGGTGCACTATCGACCTCTCGGAGTCGGAGACGAGAGGAGCACGCTGGCCCCCAAGATGCTCATGGGGCACTTCGTGGGCTACCACTCGCGGACAGGCGCGCTGCTCGTCATGACGCAGTCGGGTGTGGTGCGGGCCCAGGGCTTCAAGCGCCTACATCGAGCCCAGGCATGGTCGCCGGAGGCACCAGGGTCGTGGGGCAGGCTTGCTGGACTGCCGTGGGAGGTTTCCCCCGCGGTGTTGCTCGCGCAGCCCGTGGGCCCGATCACCGCGACCAGAGACACGCAGGAGGACCACGACACCGTGGTCAGGAGGCGCTACGTACTCAAGAAGGACATCGAACGCTTCGGAGCTACTCCGGGGTGTCCAGGCTGCGCAGACCTCATGGCAAGGGGGTCGGCGCGGGTCGCGCACTCCCAAGAGTGCCGCGATCGCATCGAGGCCGAGCTGATGAAGGACTCGGCAGGCCAGCGGAGACTGGCGGAGCACCACCTGAGGGCGAGTGCTCGCGAGGCTCAGGCGGAGGAGAGCGCGGCGCAGCCGGCGCCCCAGCCTGGAGCAGCCGCAGCCAGCGGCGGAGGAGCCGCCGCGGCCAGCGGCGGGGGAGGCGCCGCGGCAGGACCCGGCGCGGACGTGGCCATGGCAGGTCCACGTGCGGGCGCCCCGGCGACGCCACCGGCAGCATCGAGGAAGCGTGCTGCGAGCGCGTCCGCCGAGGAGCGCCGCCCGCCGCAGTTGCGAGACGGGCCAAGGGGGCTCAAGAGAGCCGGGAGCGAGCCGGACCTCCACGGGCAGATGATCGTGGACGGAGGCTCGAGCTCGTCGGCTGGACCGGCGAGCGCGGCAGTGTCCGCCGGGCTGGTGCAGCCCGCGCCTAGCCCAGAGGGGGCTAGAGGAGGTGGCGACATGGAGGACTTGGCAGGGCCAGCTGCACGGGCTGGCAGCTCCATGGACGTCGGCGCCTTTGACGAGGTCAAGGGCAAGATCTACAGGGAGATCCTGGCGCTGGTGAGCGCCACGGACCTGATCGGCGACAACGCCATGTCGATCAAGGAGCTGAAGGAGGTGTCCGCGCTGTTGACCGAGATCAACGGGGTCGACCTCGCAGAGGTCTACTCGCCCGAGCGCTTCAAGGGGAAGGCGCTCGGCATGGGCCTGACGGCAGGCCTCGCGGCGGACCTCTACACCGGCTGGGACTTGCTTCGAGAGGACCACCGCCGAGCAGTCATGAAGAAGCTGCTGGAGGATGACCCTCTCCTCACCGTGACCTCTCCGCCGTGCACGGTCTTCTCCAAGCTCAGGCAGCTCAGCAACTTCAAGCGGGACGAGGGCATCGTGGCTTCCGAGGTCCTCGAGGGCGAGACACACCTGGAGTTCTCCATGAAGGTGTGCGAGAGCAGGCATCAGCGAGGAGCACTTTTCCTGCATGAGCACCCCTGGGGCGCATCCTCCTGGTCGCGGCCGTGCGTCCAGAGGGTCAAGGAGTTGCCGGGCGTGCGCTTGGTGCGCGGCCCGATGTGCCGCTGGGGCCTCCACGCTCGGGGGCCCGATGGGCGCGAGGCATTCGTGCGCAAGGAGACGGGCTGGCTGACGAACTCGCAGGTCTTGGCCGACATCCTTGCTGGGGAGTGCCGCTGCCAGTCCATCGGCGGCGAACCCTACCGGCACGTGCACTTGCTCGGTGACAGGAGGGCTCGAAAGGCGCAGGTGTACCCACCCCGCCTGGTCAGAGCCATCCTTCGCGGCCTCAGGGAGGAACTTCGAGCTCGAGAATCGCTGTCTGACCTGGCGGGCTTCACCGCCGGGCCCTCGCCTCACGCCGAGGATATGGACCAGGAGGCGGAGGCGTTCGTGGACGACGTCCGCGGGGGCTTCCTCGACCCGCTGAAGGTGAAGGAGGCCAGGGCTGAGGAGCTGGAGTGGCGCCGTAGCCGCGGAGTGTGGAAGAAGGTTCCACGCCGCGAGATGGAGGCGGAAGGAGGTCGTGCCATCGACACACGGTGGATTGACACCAACAAGGGGGACCTCGAGCGACCGCTGTACCGCTCGAGGCTCGTGGCACGGGAGATGAAGGTCCGCCGGCGCGCCGAGGGGCTGCTGCCGCCGCAGCAGGACCTCTTCTCGGGGACGCCACCGCTGGAGGCGTTCAAGGCGCTGGTCAGCCTCTTCCTCAGCAGGGCGTTCGAGCAGTTCCAGAGCTCGGAGCCCCGAGAGGTGCTGTACAAGTTCTACGACGTGTCGCGTGCCCACTTCTACGGGCACGTGCAGAGGCGCCTCTGGGTGGAGCTTCCGCCCGAGGAGCGTCAGGGCGAGGAGGAGCCACTCGTCGGACTTCTCCTTCGCACGATGTACGGCACGATGGATGCGAGCCAGGTCTGGCAGGGTGACTACGTCGAGCTGCTCAAGTCCGTCGAGTTCCTGCAGGGGAAGTCGAGCCCCGCCATCCTGTGGCACCCAGGGCGTGACATCGCCCTCGAGGTGCATGGTGACGACTTCGGCGTGCTGATGTATGCAGACGACGAGGCCTGGTTCGACGAGTTGTTGAAGAAGTATGACTACAAGGTCACGGGCCGCCTCTCCTCGGCGGCCGAAGGGGTCCAGAGCACGGTCTACCTGAACCGCGTGCTCATCTGGGATCCCGCCGCAGGTGAAGCACGCATCGAGTCTGACGTCCGCCACGTTGACATGATCCTTCGAGACCTGCACCTGTGCGACGCCAAGCCGGTGCAGACGCCTGCGGTCAAGAAGAGTGTGACCGAGATGATAGAAGCCTCGCAGTCCCAGACGCTCGATGACGCACAGTCCAAGCTCTACCGCTCGCTGGTCATGCGTGCGAGCTACATCGGGCAGGACAGGCCGGACCTCAGCTACATAGCGTCTGCTCTGGCCAAGTCGATGAAGACGCCACGCGAGTCGGACATGATGGACCTGAAGCGCCTGGGGCGATACCTCAAGCAGGCCAGGGCCGGCTCGCTGGTGTTCAAGCTGCAGGAGGCCCCCACGCGCATCGAGATCTTTGTAGACGCTGACTGGGCTGGCGAGGCTACCACCAGGAAATCACGCAGTGGCATGATGCTCATGCTCGGCTCCCATCTTGTGAAGCACGCTTCCACTCAGCAGACCACGGTCGCGCTGTCTTCGGGGGAGTCCGAGTACTATGCGATGCTGAAGGGTGCGAGCCACGCTCTGGGGCTTCAGTCGATGCTCCAAGACTTCGGCGTGCAGCATCTAGAGAGGCCACTACTGCGCAGCGACAGCGTGGCGGCCGAGGGCATCGCCACGCGGCAGGGCCTTGGCGCTGTCCGCCACATCGACACGAGATTCTTGTGGCTGCAGGACCAGGTCAAGGCAGGCAAAGTGGAGATCAAGCATGTGCCGGGGCTCCAGAACCCGGCCGATGCGTTCGCAAAGGCTCTGGACCAGACACATCTGAGACGGCATTTTGAGGCTATGGGCTTTAAGGTGCGCGACGAGGGCAGCCGGCTCCATCGCACTCTCTAGGGTGTGCGTGTGGCGCCGGGCAAATGCATGAGTTTTCTTTTCTTTCCTTTTCTTTTCCACGGACCTAGAGGCCCCGCGCTGATGCGGGAGGTGCGGACGATGTGCATTGAGAGTGGTCGGCCGTGCACGGACCTGGCGGGCGAGAGGCCTGCAGGCACGCGCGGCCTTGGCGCCGCGGGAGTGGGGCTTTGGCCCGCTGTCCGCTGCGTCCGAGAGGGGGTGTTTCCCTTCACGTGCACAATCAGTGGTATCTGTTCTTATCGATATCGTTTGACGTCCGCAGCTCATTTGTGTCAAAGGAGCGTTGCACTGGGGCCCCTTCAGTAATGCCGCTCATGCTGTCGGGGGCTTCCAACGGTGCGGGGACCACAGCGTGTGGCGGGTGAGACCGTGGGGCCTCGGGCTGGCCGCACGGCTTCGGGACCCTGGATCGCTCTGCGAGGCTGTCTCGGGCGACGGGGACCTCAGATGCTCGTTTGGGGGACCTTCCTGGAGCCCGCCCAACGGATCTGTTCGACCCCAGCTCGGCTCAAGTTCGGCTCAAGTTCGAGTCAGGTTCGAGTCAGGTTCGACTCAGGGTCGACCCAGATCGACGGACGTTCGATGGAGCTTCGACGCACCAGTGGAGCGAGTGGTTCCAGGAAGGTCCCCAGAATGAGCATCCAGGGGGCCTCCGAGGTCCCAAGACCGTGCAGGTCACATCACCTCCCAGATACGAGAGGTTGACCCGGCAAGTGCTTCCAAGCTGGCTCCCTCTTTTCGCCGCCAGACTTCTCATTCGTCACGGCTGGGGGGGGAGGTCGAGCGTTTCGTGATCTAGTCTTGTTACTCGGGCCTCCCAAGAGAAGGGGTCCCGCGATGCATTGCCAGGACTGATCAGGTCACCGCACGGTGTGTCACCGCACCGCTTTTGGACACCCAAGTTAGGGGCGCCGGCCTCCACAGCCCCTTGGGCCAGCGACGAGGATGTCCATGGAGGAGCTCGGCCTCCCCCTCCCCTCCCCCTCCCCCTCGCCCCCCACCCCCAGAGGAGGAAACAGGATCAGTATACCCACACTTCCTCTAGCTGTGGAAGAACCACGGCGGACGGTTTTTGTTGTGCGTTTTCTGCCTCCGGGGGCCCTCACTAGATTTAGAGACCGTCACGAAACGACCTGGGATGAAAAAACAGTCCCAGGGAAGGGGTCCAGATCTCTGCCGACGTTGCGCAAAAATCACGTCGCTGGAATTTTGGGAAAGTCGGTACATACTGATGCCTTTCCCGCGCTTTCGTCTTCCGCCCGAGCTGGCGGATGACAGGAAGCTGTCCTCCTCCTCCTCCTCCTCCTCCTCCTCCTCCTCCTCCTCCTCCTCCTCCTCCTCCTCCTCTCCCCCTTCCTAGTCCTGGTCATGTTGCTGCTCTTGCTCCCCCCTAAGGCCCGCAGCCACTCTTGGCTTCAGGAGGGGAGTGCCCGGCGTGCACAGCTCCAGGGCGGGCCCGTCGCACCTGCCGAAGGGATGGGGAAGCTCCACACCATCTCCCGCGGTTACCGCCACGGCACGCGCAATGCGTTCTCGAAGAAGTGGAGGTGCAAGGGCGAGCCGGGCGTCTCGCGCCTGCTCGTGAACTTCAAGCGCGGCGACTTCGTAGACATCGTCGTGGACCCCTCCATCCAGAAGGGTATGCCGCACTCCTTCTTCAACGGCAAGACCGGCATCGTGTTCAACGTGAACCGCAATGCGCTCGGCGTAGAGATGACGAAGATCGTGGGGAATCGGCAGCTCAAGAAGCGCATCCACGTGCGCGCAGAGCACTGCAAGAAGTCCAGGTGCAACGAGGCTTTCCTGCAGCGGGTGAAGATCAACGACCAGAAGAAGCGGGACGCGAAGATGCTCGGCAAGAGCTTGAAGCTGAAGCGCGAGCCGGAGGGCCCCAAGGAGATGAAGATTGTGAAGGCCAAGCCGGAGGATGTCGTGGTGCTTGCTCCGGTGCCCTTCGTCGAGAACTACTTCTGAACAGCGCAGCGCCTGGGCGCACGCCACGACGCTGGTGAGGCCTCGCCGGCTCCCGAGCAGGCTCCTCCTCCTGCTGATGCAGCTGCTCGTCGCCGTGCCCCTGCTATTCTGCTAAGGTAGGTTCGTGCGGCGTTGGCGCGCCAGCGACGCCGGCGAAGGCGTTCAAGGTTGAATTCTGCGACGCGGAAGCACCGAGGAACGGTCACGCCACTGGACCCGACTGAATGCAACCTTGAACAATCGGGGCCGCGATTGACTCGAGGTTGAACGATCGGCGCGTTGTCAAAGACCTTTGCGCGCGCCGGCGCCGCACTAACCCATCGTAGTTTATCACGCTTTCTCTCAAGTTGTGGCGAAGCGTCCTGGTTCGCCTAAAGGCCTACCAAACAATGTTCTAAGAACCTTTTGCGGTTTCCACGCAATGTTCTCAGACCATGTCTGGCTGGGGTTGTCTTGATTTAACACATGGGGCTTATGTTCTAAGAACCTTGTTTTCGTTCTTAGAACGTTTTTGGGTTCCAAGAACATTCCGTGGTAGGCCCATTAGGAATGCCAGGACGGTCGGTCCCTGCTCAATTCTCCGCCCCCTCCCGCCCTCCGCCGTCACCTCCCCCCCAGTTGCCGAGCACCTCGCCGTCGTCGGTCGCCCACAGGTCTCTCTGGAGGTCTCTCCGGAGGTCTGCGGAGGTCCCTGGGGGGCCTGGAGGCAGAGGTCCCCGGAGGCGGTCAGAGGCCTCGGATTCCCCAGAAATCTGCCCCCAAGCATTCAGAAGTTTCGATCTCGATCACCTCCTCTCCTCCTTTTCCTCCTCCTTCTCCTCCTCCTCCTCCTTTTCCTTCTCCTCCTCCTCCTCCTCCGCCTCCTCTTTCTCCTCCTCCTCCTCCTCCTTCTCCCCCTCCTCCTCCTCCTCCTCCTCCTCCTTCCTCCCCTCCTCCTCCTCCTCCTCCTCCTCCTCCTCCTTCGAGTTTCGCGCCCAAGCAGTCCAACATTTCGATCTCGGTCTCCTTCTACTTTTTTCCTCGTGCGCGTCAGGGTGGCATCGGTCGCCTCTCTCTTCAGGAACCCCTTTGGAGGAGATGGCACTCTGGTGGGTGCGCGTGCCGAGCGTCGGCGCCGAGTGTCGGTGCCGAGTGTCGGTGCCGAGTGTCGGTGCCGATCGTCGTTGGCGCAGGGGGTCTCTGATCAGCTGCCCCCCCAGCCACACACGCTCACACATGCGCACATACACACAATTCATGCCTTTTTCCTTGCGCCTCGAGGTCGGTCGGAAGGGCGGGCCGGGCGTTTCGCTTGAGACTTCCATGCCACGTATGGTCCTGAGGTGAAAGTTGGCAGCAGCTTCGCGAATGGTGGGCGGGTGCTTTTCAACATGTGGCTCTCGCCGTAGCGCCGCGCACACTCGTTGGAACAAGTTTCAAGAGTTTCGCGGATTGAGGGTGAGTGGTTTTCAAAATGTGGCACTCGCTTTAGCCCCGCGCTCGCCGTTGTTAATTTTCAAGAGGTTCACGGATTGAGGGCTGGCCGTTTTCAAAATGGGGGGTCTCGCTTAAGCGCCGCGCACATTCGTCTTAAACATCTGCAAGCGTTTCACGGATTGAGGGCGGGTCGTTGTCAGAATGGTGTTCTCGCTTGAGCGCCGCGCAGATTGATTTTTCAAATTCGCAAGAGCTTCACGGATTGAGGGCGGGTCGTTGTCAGAATGGTGTTCTCGCTTTAGCGCCGCGCACATTCGTTTAAGAAAATATATGAGCTTCACGGATTGAGGGTGGTTATTTTTCAGACTGTGGCTCTCGTCTTAGTGCCGCGTACATCCGTTTTACAGCTGTAGGATTTTCACGGATTCCTATGTTTAGCGTACCAGAAATGGCGTTTTGGAAGGATTCGGGACTTTCAGGGCGCAAAAGGGAACCTTCATTCGCGGTGACGAAGTCACAGGAACGGCGTTCTGGCACGATTCAGGATGGTTAAAACGCAACAGTCAGGTTGATTCGTGACGTTGGAGTCTCGAGAACGGTGTTTTGGAACGTGTCAGGATCTTCAAACGGTTGTCTCCCAACGGGGCACTTCCCTTAGTGGAAATGAATCCTCGTAGGGGCCTGCGAAGAGGGAGGGATCCTGGAGGGAAGGTTTATTCCAACATCTTTGATGAGTCTTGGGTTTGCACAAGTCCTCCTCCTCCTCCTCCTCCTCGTCCGTCGTTGTCGTCGCCGCCCCAGTTGGCGTCCGCCGTTGTCGCCGCCGTCGTCGCCGTCGCCTCCCGCCATCGTGCGCATACACGCTGGGCCGACCCCGGTCCCAGGACACGTGGCTTACGGTAGGTTCGCGTCGTGTCGACCAGCGGCGACCCCGCCGCCAGCGTTCAGCGTTGGACGCCGCCGTCGATCCAGAATCGGTCGGAGTTGAGCGATCTGACGTTCGGGAACGGCCCATCGTTCAAGGCTGAACGATCCCGCGGTGTCAGGGGCCAGCGCCAGGGTCGACGCGACACGAACCCGCGGTAGCTGGCTCTGGGCCCAGGACAGGGGGCGCAGCTGGGTCCGATCCTGGGCCCAGCAAGGCCAGGAGGGCGCCTGCACCACACACCACTCCTGAGCCAAGGATGGGCCTGGAGGGTTTCCCCGAATAGCTTTGGCGACCCGTCCTCCTCCTCCTCCTCCTTCTCCTCCTCCTCCTTCCTCCTCCTCCTCCTCCTCCTCCTCCTCCTCCTCCTCCTCCTCCTCCTCCTCCTCCTCCTCCCCCCCCCTCCTCCTTCTCCTCCTCCTCCTCCTCCTCCTCCTCCTCCTCCTCCTCCTCCTCCTCCTCCTCCTCCTCCACCTCCTCCTCCTCCTCCTCCTCCTCCTCCTCCTCCTCCCCTCCTCCTCCTCCTCCTCCTCCTCCTCCTCCTCCTCCTCCTCCTCTCTCGCTCCTCCCCTCCTCCTCCCTCCTCCTCCTCCCTCCTCCTCCTCCTCCTCCTCCTCCTTCTTCTCCTCCTCCTCCTCCTCTCCTCCTCCTCCTCCTCCTCCTC